AATTTGTTTTTGCAAGAAAGCACGGATTATCAAAATTTCAAATTCATTGTGTCAAGATGCCTATTGTTTCATTAAAAGTCTGATGCTATTGGATGTTTTGTTAAAAGCTCAAGTCCTATGGAAAGAAATTATGTGATGATGTCAACTTTTATTTCATTTAAAAACAATGTACTTGTCCAACCCACCACTGGCTGCAGAGAAAAGCTTGAAAATGTTTCCCAACCATATTATAGAGATTCCAAATCCGAAGGCAAATAAAAAAAGCCAGTAGATAATAGACTTTAAAATTCCATGTCTTTGTGAACTTGTCTTGCAGTTTTTTCAGGGCTGACAATCCTGCTTCCTTCATAAAAATTCTAATCATTTGCATTGTCAAAGAACTTCAAAAATATAGCTTGTCATTTTTGTCAATTTACCATTTTTTTTATCATTGTTAGTCATGTAGCTTCTTTTATTGTATTGGTTAGGCTGTACAGTTGTTCAGCAAGATTTGGGACATTTTTTTCTCCCCTTCACACTAAAGTTTTTGTTAAATCCATGAAACAATTATCAATTACACTGCACCATGCAAATCCCAAATCCCACCAATTTGTGTCCCCCCCAATACCTTCAAACCTGCACGTATTAAATTCATTTCTACTTTCTGAGAGGCTTCATTGACACAGCCTGTTGATGTGTTTTGCTGGCCAGGATATCTAAGAAAGGACCAAACAGCTCAATCTGCACTCAGAGCACAGAGCAGCAGGCAGCAGTGATGCTGTCAGGACTGCCAGTGAGGAGGGGTGCTAGATGACCACCAGGTCTTGTTCAGGTGAAAAGACATTCAGAGAATTTGGAGAATGTAGCCAACACTTACAAGCTGAATTTTGCCTTAGATGGGTTTCTTTCTTGTCCAGGGTGGCTTTTCTGGTAGCTATGTTCACCAGAGCATGGCTGCCAAAAGACAAGATGAATGAAATATGAATGAAATTTGACTTAGTTCTTCATTCTTTTGACAAGAAAAGGATCTTGATATTTCCCCAAAATGTCTTTTCAGAAGATATGACAACTTTTTTTTTTCTTTCTTTTTCTTTTTTTTTTTTTCTTTTTTTCTCCCAAATGCTGGCCTAAAAATCCACAGCAACTCAAAGAAAAGGGAAATGAAAAGTGAACAAAAAAGAGTCCGGGACTATTTTATTCACAGATTTAGTTCCTGCAATGTCCAGATGAGGCCACTGTGGTTTTATTCTCCTGATTGCAAGAAAGGAATTTAACTTGGTTACCTCAGAGTTTCCCCATCTCCACAACTGAAAGTGTGCTCTAGCGAGCCTGTTTTTCTGTTGGAGAACAAAGGAAAGGAAATGGCTATTTTCCCCAAACACACACACACTGGTTACAATACCCGCAAAGGCAGGAAGAGAGCTGGACAATGGAAGCTGCAGATGTGGAGGTATTTTTTCAAATCCCCTCAGCTGCTGCTGCCTCGCAGGCAGCAGAGATAGGGCAATGGAAGAGCAGAAACTGCTGCTAGACAAGCACAGCAAGCATTTCTGTTTTATAGAGGATCTGGTGAAGCTTTCCAGTAACAGCCAGCCCCAGCCTGTACCGAGCTGTAGCAGAGGCTGAGTTTCCAATAGACCGTGGTGCAAAACCAGGAAAGGGTAGTGAGTGCTTTGGCTGAGTCAGGCTGTCAGGAAATCTGGATTTCTGCGGTGAGAGGCTGGGCCAGCCCCTGCCAAGCCCCCAGGCAGTGAATGCTAGTGCACAGTGGAGAGTGAGACAAGGACGATGCTCTCATCCAAAAATATCTGGCCAGACATGAGGGGGACTGTGGCTACTGGGCGGCTGTGCAAGAGAGCAGCAGGTTGTTCCTTCCAGCCCTATGATCACAAGAAGAGAAATGTGTAACTTCGTGCAATCCCCCCTTTTATGGGCCTTCTTTTCTTCCTTTTGCCTTTGCCACAACAGAAAGGAACCGCTGGTTCAGATCTGAAAATTAGCACGTTCCTAACAGCAGTCAGGCAGAAAGCCCTGAGCCAGGGTTTGTGAGGGACTCTTGTCTTTGCATGTCCCCTCACTTGGGCTGCAGGGCCATGTTTTAGCCTTAGCTGCCCACCGCATCGTGCAAGGCCTGAGTGTGGCTTGCGGCTGGGCTTCCTCTCTGTCCCTGATGGCAGGGCCACCCCTGCCACTTCAGGCAGTAACGTGAACTGGGCAATGATTAACATGAGCACTGAGTCAGAGTTGTGGCTGTGATGGGATGTAATATAGTGTTTGTTTGTAAACTGACAAATTGGCAGAGGGAACTTGTGAGGGAGGGATCTGTGGCTGTCAGTCAGGCTGCCAGCCTGCCCTGACCAAACAGCAACAACTGGCCTCTGTCCTTTGCAGGCTCATCCAGGGAATGTAATATTTCACCTCCCACCTCTGAAAGGACCGGCAGTTTTTAGGCTGTTCTGAATTTGCATGCTTTAAGTGTGAGGCTGGTTCGTCTCACCACCACCTCATGCTTCTCACTATGGCCCTGGCTGCTCTCCTGTTGCAGGACCCCGTTCTCCAGACACATGGATGGATGCTCCTGCTCTCCCCTCTCCTCCCAGTCAGGCGCAGTGCTAAGGGGGGCCCAAAACTGAGCAGGGACTGAGAGGTGCTTGGCAGTAAGAAGGGCCTCTGGGTACTGACTCCAAAGAAGTTGCCAGAAGGCTGTAACTCCCAGTGGCAGCGCTTTGCAGAGTCCTACAGTGTTGGAACTGTTATGTGATTTTAAGGTGAGGATCTCTGAGATGAGGTGGTGGGGAATGCATCCATTACCAGATCTTACAGGAAGAGGCAGTGTCTTCTTCATCATGAGGCACAGAATCATAGAATCACAGAGTGGTTTGGGTTGGAAGGCACCTTAAAGATCACCCAGTTCCAGCCCCCCTGCCACAGGCAGGGACACCTCCCACCAGAACAGGTTGCCCATAGCTCCATCCAGCCTGGCCTTGAACACCTTCAGAGATGGGGTATCCACAGCTTCTCTGGGCAACCTATTCCAGTTCCTCACCACCTTCATAGTAAAGAATTTCTTCCTTATATCTAATCTAAAACTACTGTATTTTACTTTAAAGCCATTAACCCTTGTCCTATCACTACATTCCCTGACAGAGTCCCTCCCTGTTTTCCTGTAGACCCCCTTTAGGTACTAGAAGGCTACTACATGTATAAGGCTCCAGGGAGACCTTCTCTTCCCCAGGCTGAACAACCCCAACTCGTTCAGTCTGTCTTTGTAGGAGTGGTGCTCCAGTCCCTTGATCATCCTCATGACCCAACTCTTGACTTGCTCTACTAGGCCCATGTCCTTCTTGTGCTGGGGGCCCCAGAGCTGAAAGCAGTGCTCCAGGTGGGGTAGAGTAGAGCAGAGTAGAGAGGGAGAATCAGCCCTCTCACCCTGCTGGCCATGCTGCTTTTGATGCAGCCCAGGAAATGTTTGGCTCATGTTGAGCTTCTCATCTGCCAACACCTCCAGGTCCTCCTCAGGGCTGCTTCCAATCCATTCTCCACCCAACTTGTATTTGTGCTGGGAAACGAATTGCCTTGGCCCACATGCAGGACCTTGCACTTGGCCTTGTTGAACCTCATGAGGCTCACACAGGCCCACCTCTCAAGCCTGTCCAGCTCCTCATGGATGGCATCCCTTCCCTCCAGTGTGTTGACCACACCATGCAACTTGGTGTCATCAGCAAAACTGCTGAAGGTACATTCAATCCCATTGTCCATGTCACTGACAAAGATGTTAAACAGTGGTGGTCCCAACAGTGACCCCTGAGGAACACCACTCATCTCCACTTGGACATTGATCCATTGATCACAACTCTTTCAGTGAGACCATCCAGCCAATTTCTTAACCACTTTGTTGTCCTTCCATCAGATCCATGTCTCTCCAATTTAGATACAAGGCTATCATGGGGGACAGTGTCAAATGCACAAGTCCAGGTAGATGATGTCAGCTTCTTTTCCCCTATCCACCAATGCTGTAACACCATTATAGATGCCACCAGATTTGTCAGGCATGATCTGCCCTTACTGAAGCCATGTTGGGTCCACCAGAGAAGAAAACTATGGGAAGGCATGTCCTATTTACTGCACTTTTCATTTAAACATTTCTGTTTAAATAGTGCCTGAAGTCTTTGGATATCCTTTCGAGTTTAAACTCACTGCATATTTCTGTAGCAATAGAATTTCCTCTCATCAGCATCACTGGCTTCAGCTGTTGTCGGGTATTATTATTATACCTTGCTGCTTCCTTCCTCTCCCATCAGTCTTCCTATTCTGGAGTTAAATGTCATATATAGTTTGAGCTATTTGACTGCTAGGCCCCCTGTACCCCAGGATATCCCAGAAAGACAGGAAAGTTCATTGTGAAAAATGGGGACATCAAGTGGCTGCATTTTCTGCAGCACAGAAGAAACAGAGACCCAAAACCTCAATGATAGATCCGAAGTAGCACAGGACATTTAGGACAGAGTAATTTGGGCAGAACTGTGCAATGTGACTGCTCACACTCAGCAACGTGGGTAGTGAGCAATCATCCAAGTGGGCGCAGATACCACTGGAAAATGTCACTGTTGTAGTGAAGGTGGTGCCCTTTCTGCAAAGAAAGAGGCCTGTCCCCACTTCAAAGGTAATATAAAAGCTTAAACATTTTTTACAATAATTAACTTTTTCTTTTTTTTTTTTTTTTTTAACTAAAGAGGAAAAAAAAAGGGGGGTGGGTGGGAGGGGACTTGCAGGAAGATTCTTTACCAGCGTTTTTGCATCATACAAAGTTTTCTGGTGGATTGATAATTATTTCAGTGAAATGAGGAGAATCAAAATTAAAACTAATTTGAAAATGGCCTTTAATCTGAATTGAATTGATGTCTTGTTTGTTTGCTTGTTTTCTCCTATAGCTTACTTGTTTATTTTTTTGAAGTCACTCTTGTTAACTGTCCTGCAGCCATGGTATGTACCAGATAGCCAAGAAAGCTGACATGGGGAAGTTATATACAGCATCCTTGTGACCTTTTTGGAGTGAAGATACATATCTGTCCAATAAAGCCCAGGCCAAATGACAGTGACAGCTGCCTCGTGGCATTCAGTTTGAATTGAACAGGTTTGCTCACAAGTCTGGAGCAAGTATTTCATTACAGACTGTGCACCAAGAACAACATAAGCACCCAAAAGTGAAACTTTCCCTCAGCAGCTATGGAAACTACCCTGGTGGACTGAGATGCACTTCACAGGCTCCTCCTTATCTCCTTGCTTTGACTTTCCTGCAAGCTGTCAACCTCTGGTGGCATTTGCATGTTGGTGTAGTACTTGCACGGGAAGAAAACCTCGCTTGATTTATCAGGAGCAATCCAAGGTGTTATGGGAACCGAGCACTCAAAAAGCGAGAGGCGAAGAAGAATGTTTTTTCTGAGGAAAGGTCCAAAGTTGCCTGCATGGGAAGATGCTCTTCTCGCAGGGAAAGACCCCAAGTCATTGCTGAAACGGGGATTGCGTTATGTCAGCTTGAGCCTTATAATGAAAGGGATGACCAGTGCTCCTGACTTCTTGTGGGGACTGCCTGAGGTGCAGAAACTGAACCTCTCACGCAACCAGCTGGTGGTAATTCCTCCTTCACTGGGAAAACTGGACCGGCTCGTAGTGCTCAACTTGGGTGGCAACTGCCTCAAGTGTCTGCCAAAGGAGATCGGGCTGCTGAGGAACCTGAAGGTCTTGTTTGTTAATATGAACTGCCTGACAGAAGTGCCAGCAGAGCTCAGCTTGTGCAGAAAGCTGGAAGTTTTGAGCCTCTCGCACAACTGCATCTCACAACTACCTTCAAGCTTCACCGACCTGACAAATTTAAAGAAACTGAATCTCAGTAACAATCACTTCGTGCAGATTCCCCTCTGCATTTTTGCACTGAGGAGCCTAGACTTCTTGCACCTGGGGTCCAACAGGCTTGAAAGCATTGCAGAGAGTGTTCAGTATCTAGCCAATTTGCAAATCTTTATAGTAGAGAATAATAACATACGCACTCTGCCGCGGTCACTCTGCTTCATCATGGCTCTGGAGCTACTAAATGTAGATTACAATTCCATACAGACTCTTCCAGATGACCTCTACCTGCTGCGCAGGCTGCCCCGCATTGCGTGGAACCCAATGGACAAAGGCCTCCACGTCTTCCACAACCCCCTGTCCCGACCCCTGCCTGAGCTCGTGGAGGGGGGACTGGATGTCCTCTTCAACTACCTCAGGGAGAAAAAGGAGCACCACTGACTTTCTGCTGAGCTTGGGATTAAGCCTGTCATCACAACTCAGTCACGCCAGAGCACTTTCCTCAGCAGTCACTTCCACTTCCTAATACTTGGATTTCCAAGACTATGGATGGCTTTAGTAATGGTTGGAAGAAAGCAAGTAAAGTATGATGGTCTGTTTAAATGTGTGAAGAGTAAGATTTTCTAAAACTGCCCACCCCTGTAACCTTCAATGTTGGAGTGTTTGTTTTTTTGGGGGGGGGGGACAAAAGAAAAAAAAAAAAAAAGAAACGCGATAAAATGTTTGATCTTCATTTGACAGGAACAAATTAAGGCAGACTTCTAGGAGTTCAGAAACGTATATTTGCTAGCTATCATGTTGGAGGAATATTAATATAAATTGGATTTACTATACGTGATTACAGTTGCACTTTAACTCCTGCTCAGTTCTTCATGTGCAGATGCCACTACATAAACAAACACTGCTTATCTAAGTGAATCTCAAGGAAAAAGTTTAATTCACTTTCAGCAGTGAGTATATCCTGAGCTATATTAGCCCACGGACAGTGTATTACCTGCCAGTTTAATATTATTTGTTGTTTACCCTGCAGCTGTGAGCTGGCCACTATAAATTACAGGTGAAGATGGCCGGCAGTGTGGCAATTCCCCAGTTCTCTGGAAGAAGACCCCAGCCTTTCCCAGAGCATGTAGTCCCTTGCCTGAAACACACAGCCTTTTGCACAGAGCCTACTGGGGTGCCAGTAGAAGTGCATCAGGACCATCAAGAAGCAGCATCTACACCAGAAGTGAAAGTGGGTCCTTATTCCCTCAAACAAAGGCTGCCAGATGAAGTTGCTCGTTGCTGGATGAACTGCACTGCTTTCCTTTTTGTGCTTCCCTGCATTTGGAGTCACGGAGTAATTTGACTCAGGAGGCCGTAGGTCTCCTAAAGGTGAAACATTTCTTTCAAGAAAAGCAGCAGCAAACCAGTCATCAGCTTAAGTAAGAGCTTCAAAAACAAATACTTATTTCTGTGATTTTCAGTAGCAGCCAGTAGCATAGAAGTCAGCTCGTATGTGATTTCTCATATTGATCTTCTGTGTATGTCCTTCATCAAAGTTTTATCTAGTAATAAAGACGCAGTATGAAAGAGCCGTTAACAATTTATGCAACTTGATTTTTTTCTCACAACTCTGTTGAATCAACTCTGTTGAAATCAGTTGAGATAAATGCTTCTAATGGCAGCATAAAAGAGGAATGAGCCTGTAATTCTTGAACTAATTAAGAATATTCAAAGCCACTTTTAAAGTACTTCCTATTGTATGTCTCAGGAATCAATGTTTACTTTCTGAAATGTAATTGGCTCAGAATTATGGAAGACTGTGGAAGATTGATCCTGCTTCTAGTGAGGCTAATGGACAGCTGCTGTCTGAGGGAAAAACTCTTCCGTCAGCAGTGGTAGAAGTAGTCTGATAAGAGCAGACAATTATGTAATTCATAGACACATGCAAGTAAATGCAGCACCTTTGGGCATGCTAACGTTATCAGTGCAGTGCTGAACGCAGCCACGAAGAATCTGTGCTCACAGACTCTTCCTCTCTGGGGCTGCTCACTGATATTTTGTTATGTTGGATTGTTTTGTGTATCATTTTTTATCTTAATAGAGAATTTCAGTGTTGTGCCCAGGAACTGCGGTTTCCAAGTGTGCAGTCAAGGACAAATCTTGTTTCTAGCAAAAGCGAAACCCTTTTGAAGGACACTTTTGCTCAAGCATAAGACAAACAAACAAACAAACAAAATAAACAACAAAGCACAGTTATTTTGTGAGTTTTTCATTTAATATATGTTTCAGATGTTTTTTATCTAGCTTTGCATGCATTTATTCCACCCATGCAATAGGATTTGTAGCAAGTTCGAAGATTTTTAATGCACAATACATCGAATAAATTAATATGTGATTCAATTAGCGACAAGAAATAACCCTGCAATTATTTATAGAAATACCAACAGATAATTCTTGGAGGGGATTAGGCACAGATTATTAACTTTTCTAAATGCTCATTTCATATCCCTAAGTCCTGCATTCACGTAAACACTGTAGTCCCTCAGTAGCTCTTTGCAGGAAAATTAAATTCCTATGACATTAATCACCTGAAAAGACTTTCCACATATCAGTATCCAGGATTATATGACACCAGATAGCCTCCAGTGTGTTCTGACTAGAAGAGGTATGCACAGTAATTTACATGGAAGATGTGAGCCTGGACTGTGTGTGTTCATTAGGACACCACTACCAAGGGTGAGCAGCAGTGCATGATTCAAGAAAATGGTCTCCCGACAGGGGATTAAAAGGCAAATTTGACAGAATCAAATGCATCTGGAAAAGCAGTTATAATATGAAGTGCAATAGCAATAATTTAAAATTCAATTATTCAATTGAATAATAATAACCTTTTACTCAAGCTAATAAACCTTTGCAAGCATACGAAACACATAAAAGTCTCTGCCTTTTTAAACAGAATAATAAAATTCATTGAATAAATGGTACTTTAATGTATAATTCAGATTTTAGCACTAAAAAGATAATTTCTACTGAACTGCTTAATCTTTCTTTCATTTCTGAATTAAGCCCTTTATAAATAGGTTTCTTAGAGATAGAGAAAATGATCTCACATGAGTAAAGGTGCAGTTCTGAATTCTTACTGTAAATAGAAAAGACTGTATATCACTGTTAATGTATAGAAATATGCATAGGAGGCAAATAAACGTGTTTGCATCTGAGAGGGTGCAAGAGGCACAGGAGGGAGGCGGAAAGCCTGATGTCATGCACTGGCTCTGGTTGTGAGTAGGGCATTAGCAAAGAGTTAGTGGATCTCAGCCTTGCCATCTGACACCAGTTGTACAGAGCGTGAGGAAAAAAAGGTGCTGAAATGCTGCAGGGGCTACAGTCATATCTCATACTATATGAAACCTATCATTTCTATGTGTATATTAAATGATATGATTTTGACTTAAAATCTGTCAGAGAACTATGTGCTGAACAGTGCACTTGTTTCCAGCACTCACTGAAGTTTCCTCACCATAGGTCTGACAGCAGTATAACTTTTGATGCATTTATTTTTCTCGTTGTTATTGGCAGTGGTGGTTTTCAAAGGAATGGAAAAAGCAGGATCCACTCATGGAAAAGGATGCTCTCATGGCAGCCTGACTTTTCGACAGCTGCTGCTCAGAGAAGCTCTCAAAGAGCTAAAGGTTAGAAAAATCCTTGGTATGGATGAAATAAAGGGCAAAGCAAGTAGAAAGAGCATAACCAGGAACCAAATATTTGGAAAAAGTATAATATGCAATGGGGCTATATAATTTGGTCCCCAGCTATCATCAAATATATTGATGGTACATTTGGTGAGGTGAACAGCTTCTGTTTTTATTTTATTTTAAATTATTATTTTATCATTTTATCATTTTATTTTTAATATTTTATTTTATTTTAAGTATGTTTTTATTTTAAATAAAAAAAAAAAGCTGCATTCTGTGAAAAGTTTAAGCCTAGTAAATATGCAAGATTTTTGAAAACTGGAAGGTTTCAGAATCTTGGTCTAACACAAAAGTTTTGGCTTCAAAATTTGACTGAAATTATAAAAAATTAACTTGAAATGTTGCTATAGTATCCCTCTGCAAGTTAAAGCTGAAATGTGTTATACTTACTGCTTTACAGTTACTGGCCAAACCTGCCACGTTGACAAACTCGTTCATGCTGCTTGTGACTAGTGACCTCCCAAAACACATTGCAAGGTCTCAGCAACCCCATGAGGCACCACCAGGCATGTAGACTAGCCAGCAACACCAGCCTGTTATGCCAGCAAAGCAACAAGAGCCTACGGAGACCGATTTCCAAGATGCACTGGAGTGGCATTTCAAAACAGAACCTTTCAGATTCCAGCTAAAGGCTCTAGAAATTCAGATTAAAGATTCTGTGACTATTGTTTTGGATGAAAGATATTTTTTTTTCTTCTGAATATATTTTTATTTGTTTTTATCAAAATTCCTCATTTATTTTTCATGTAAAAAACAACAACAACAACAACAAAACAAAACAAAAAACTAGAGCTGTTTCTCAGCATTTTTATTATAAGACCATATGTTTTGGAGTTTAGACATTTCAGGATACGAATGAATTGCTTTCTTGTTATTACACTGTAACTTCACTAAACCATATTTTTTAGTTATTTTTGGTTAATATTTTAAAAACTTTGCAATCATTGTTTTACTGGATAAGGATGCATCTAAAAATAATACATTGATCCTGGAGAGTTGAACACATTCTTTACTTTGCTAGTCCAGCACATAACTTGAAAAAACATATCAACATAATAATTTTCACAAGTAGAAAAATCATTCACAGTCCAGCTTATTCCCTTAACCAAATAAAAACGAAAAGGAGCCTCATAGGTCATCAGGCTTTCCAGTATAACCACATGAAAGAGAAACAAAGAAATCAAAGGAAATAAACTGATCATCTAATCAGTACAAATTCACTGAATTCCAAGGGTAAATTTCCTGCAGAGCCTTCAGACAGCAGATCTTCAGTAATTCAGGGAGATTTTCACACCACCTTGCAGGGTTACATTAAATATAGTTAACACAAATAAAAATAAATATATGAAATTATATATATACAATAATATGTAAAATATTAAGGAAATACGCACATTATTATGTAATGTATGCTTCCACAATCCACATGTGTGAGAGCTGAAGTCCTGAAACAGTTACAGCCAAAGGAAAACTTACATTGACTGTAAAAGTGCCTGCACTTATATAAGAATACATACATTTACCATTCTATATGCAGCAGAAACAAGATTTGAAAACTCAATAGATGTTTAAATGCCTATGCGGCTTTAGATATATTGGGACAGGGATACACTTTAATACTCACACGTGGAGTAAGCCTGAAAATCCTTTTATAAAATTGCATAATCCTTCCTCTGTACAAGTAAAAGGCAGAATAATAATTATAAAAGATGAAAAAAAGAGACACTGAAACGTCTCTGCTTTAGAAATGTATTAGGTTATCTGAACACCCTGAATATCCCAAGAGGAAATCAAATTCATATAAAGATTTTTTTAAAGTGGAAATTACATAAGAAATGTTTTTTCTCCCTCCCAGCTATCCAGAGGAAAGTAGAGTACTGACGTTATTAGTTTTAAATTCTTCTTTTATTTTCCCCCCACCACTGATTTCATACATTTATCTCTCTTGCAGCCAACCAGCCTTCAAAAGCCATCCCTTAACACCATCTCCTGCAGCACTCAGCCCAGCAGTACCAGCAGGGTCCCACATTGCTAAGGCCACTGACCACACCAGATGACTGCAGGGTCTGGTGACAAAGCCTGAAATTTATACTCCAATGTATGTGGAGTCATGTCATGCATGGCTAAAAAGGTAGTTTCCAGTGAAGCAGGAAGTGTAACAACAGATTTAGAAAAGGTCACTGCAAATTATACTGCTGCATAAGGGGAGCTTACCCAGGCAGACTGGAAAGAAGACCAAAGGGCAGAGCTCTACATTCTCCTATGGCTCAGAGGAGTTTCAGATACCATACATTTATTGATGAATACCCTGTTTTTAATTTTGTCTACCCAGGCTTAAAAAAGAAAAATAAAATTATTTTTGCCAATATGATACAACTCTTCAAAGGAAATATATGTTGCTCCCGTTTCTTTCTTACCTCCAACCTTTGCATCCTGGGTGCGTTCACAGAAGTTGCAAATTTCTTCTCGCCTCCCTACAAAGTCAGTCCTGCTGGGTGTGGGTGGGTGTGAAAATGTATCCAGGGCCTGATCTCTTACCCTCTATGCAAGGAGGAGAGCATGGGGGAGGCATGCAGGCATCACGATCAGTGGTCATGAGACATGTAACTTATCCAAAATAGGCATCCTGATCAACACAACATCTTTATGCACCTCCTTAGCAGTTTAGGACAGTGGTTAGTCCCTGGGCATGGTTTCCATGGTCAAGAGAGAGAGAGTAAGTTTCTCTTGGGACAGCACTAAGAAAGGAACCTGGCTTAAGAGCCCCATGTTGTCCCAGGGTCTTTCCCTGCTGGCTGCAGAGAGCCCCAGGATATCTGCAGCCTAATTTAGCCATCTGAAGTAAGATCAGTGACATTGTACAGTACAACTTGCCTCTGTAGCAAGTGCACACAAGACCAGAAGTGGCATCCTTCAACATAACATTCAGACTTGCTGAGAAGGGACGGAAGATATGGCAGAGAAACATCAACAAGCCAAAAATGCCTTATGCCAAGTGCTTTGAATGACAGAAAATCTTTTATCTCCCTCGCTGTTAAAATGCTCTGCCTTGAAATGAGTTTTAAAAAGACACATGCAAAAGAAGCCTCTGTACTTTTTAGAAATGGCATTGCAAAATCTGCTGAAAGAAATGACCAAGTGCACCATGGCAAACTGTCAGAGAAATAATCCCTTCCACCTAGGAAACAAACCTATTTTCTCTATACTTTCTTCACTTATATTTTGTCCTTTTTGTTGTTAGAAATATAATGGAAGAAGTGTGTGTGTGTATAAATTTTTGTTTTGGCAAGTCTGTGCATGCATACATATTTCCCCTACAGGGACAGCAGAGGTCCTAAATTGTTTGCTTGTGTGAGCAGGAAAGCCTCTCTGGCACAGACCAATGTGATGCCCTGTGAACAGCACCAGCCCTGGTGGGAGAGCTGAAGAATCCAGAACAATACCCACACTTTGGAGAATTCATTCAGTCAGCTGTGATTTGCTTAAGATAACACCTTTCCATAAGCATTTCTGTGCCCAGTGGTCCCCTGTATCTTTCAGTACACCAAACTTCTCTTTCCAATTGGGAAATAACACTGTAAAGAATGGATTGCAATGTGGTGTTTGTGTGTTCTGTCCACACACAAAAGAAGTTACAAAGATACTAAGGAACCTTGAAATTAATTCAGTAAAAACATCCCTCTGAGCCTGTGGGTGTGCGTGTTTGTGCGTGTTTGGAAGTATTTGGGAGGTTTTTACAATGCTTTGTGATGCAGTATCTGAGGAATAAGTGTGAGCTGACTGAAAAATTGCATATTCCACTGCAAATAATACGCTGGTGATTTAGTATCAAAGCAGGACTTTAAATATATGTTGGTAAACTATGTTGGTTTTGAATTTGTTTTGCATTAATTTTTCTGGGTGTTTTTTAGTGTCAGGTATCACAACGTTCATGGGGACTTTTTATTAATCAATGTTGAGATTTAAAATACAGAAGAATTCCAGTTTGGTTGTGCTTTTTTTTTTTTTTTTTTTTTTTTTTTTTTTTTTTAATTGATGAATGATCAGGGAAGAAGATACAATCATTTTCTGCTCCTTAGTCAGTAAATGTTTAGTAGCTCTTGCTGTGAACTATTTGTAATGCATTTTTTAGCACATCAAAAAGAGTTTCAATTCTACACAGCCTAATCTTTCTTAGAAAATTTATAGAATTGATTCTAAGCTGAATACATTAAAGTTCAATTTAGCCTGGATGGTTGTAGAAGGCTCAAATGGAAAAGTTTAGAGAATTTGTACATCTAATTGTCTAGGCTGCTCCTGGAGGCAAGGGTTGAAATGTAGTTGGTTCAAAATTTGGTTCAAGTTCAGAAGAACATAGATGGGTGTTGATCAAAAGCTGAAGATTTTACCTCTCCCATTCAATCTCCATATTTTATTTGGAAAAACAAAAAAAAAAAAAAAAGAAAAAAGTCAACATAACAGTGTTTAGTATGAGCTTTTTACACTGGAAGAATATATTAGCCAGCGTTTCAGACTTCTAGTCCAGCTTAGAAGGCAAACCTAAAGATGTTTATTTAGGTTACTCTTCTCTAGATGGTTTCCTGGGGCTGGTAGGACTGAAAGCAAATGAATGTTTGTAGTAAGACATCTTTGGTTTTACAAACCCCATATCAGGAATAGTTCTGATTTATTTCTCATTTTGCTCAAAAATATGAATAGTTAAGATGTCTTACCTTCCTTGGACTGGCATGCAGATGTTAGAGTGTATAGGTGAGAAAATTTATTCAGCGTGTCCAAATCCTCCTGAGGACTAGCCTTAGGGGAAGATGTGGAAATTCACTAGGGACTCAGGGCTTCCAGTGGTGTTTCAGTGTCCATTAGAGAGGCTGTTTAATGTCCTTTAGATAGGCTAATATGTTGCAAAGCACTGACATTTCAAGACTTAGCCCTGAAGCTAATAGCTCTTCTGGGTAAGTCATTTTCACATTTACATCAATTTAGTGTAGTCTAGATTTGGATAAAGATAAGCACGGCTTTTCACTTGCCAGTGTTGCCAGGGTGATGAGCCACCAAACTGGGCTTTCTGCAACAATTCTCCTCTCTCTTCTACCCTCCAAACTAGTGGTTGGCTGTTCTGAGTATGACCTTGTGTGTACATTCAACAACAAATACACAGCAGAAATGCCCTACATTTGCCTTGCCACAGTTCGTACTAACAGTAGTTTATTTTAAAACGTAAGATAAATGATGAATATAAGGGGAGGAGTGAAGAATTGCCAGTTTAGAGGCTAGTGCTATATGTGGAGTCACTTTCATGGAAAGCCAGGACAGTTTACATATAGTTTGTTCCGTACTAGCTATCTGTATTTTCACATTATTTCTACTGCCTTTTTCTTTTCATTTGTCCTTCCTCTTTGTTTTATTATGCTGTCTCTTTTCCATTGCTACCCACTCTTCTTCCATTTTTGTTTTGCCTTTTGTTTTGCCTTTTTGTTTCTTGTTAACAAGTTTCAACATTTTTAATTAATGTTGTCTGCTTAACTAATGCCAGTTCAACCCTCCTTCTCTGAAATTGTCCTCCAAAACAAGTTAATCATTAGCAGAGGCCTGTCTTGATCAACTGCTTGGAGGTTCACTGAGCATAACAAAAACAAAAAACAAAACAACAAAAAAATA